TAAACAAACACAAATCGAAATAGAAATCATAATGAAAGTACCAAACAATTAAACTATTGATGTACTTTTCTCTCCTTAGGTGATAAAAGCCTTTTCCAGAACTTTTTTTTCTCTCAAAATCGTCTCTAGGTCTGCCTTCTATCAGCCAAAAGTCCCCCAAGTCGTAATGGACAAGGATATATATACTTTTCTGATTTTGCCGAGTTCACGTCGTGAGCCAATAAGTCTCACGTCGTGAATATGAGATAATCGTGTTCGACAAGGATTCCTCCATCCGGATGCATATCTTCTAGAACACTCCAACTCACGTCGTGAATATAAACTTCTCACGATGTGAATTTATCAGATTTCGTGGGTTTCTTGTCTTTTGATTCACCAAGTCTCCAAAGTTCCAAGTGTTGTCAATTTCGGTCCCTTTCTTCGAAAATGCTTCTACTTTGGCTGCAAAATATAATTTTAGCTTATAAGTAACATTATTCTATGCAAATAACCAAATTATTAGTAAAAATGCAAATAAATATTGCCTAAAAATATGTATAAGTATGGCAATATCAGAGGGAACGTACTCTACAACTTTCGTTTAGACTCTGCCGACTAATTTTGACTTTATTTTAAAAAGTTATATTTTTTTAAAAGGTCGGGACATGATTGGTCCGTTAAAAATTCATAACTTCTTCATCCGACGTCCGTTTTCGTCTGTATTTTTACTGTTGAGCTCCTATTGACGAGATATTCGACTCTCGTTTAGGTTGTGTCGGCCAACAATCGACTGATCTACTATTCGAACTTCGGGTTGTGCACTGCCGATCCGAAACTTAGAAAAATCATAACTTCCTCATACGAAGTCAGATTTGGGCGTTCTTTTTATGCACGCTCTCGGTTTAACGTATACTACAACTTTTGTTTAGATTGCTAAGGCTAAAAACTCTTCTATCGTAAATTCACTGTTTATGTTTCCCGGTGCCGTGCCGGTTCTGTCGCGAAACTTCGACGGGTCATAACTTCTTTGTTATAACCCGGATTTCGGCGCTCTTTATATACCCGAAATCCTTGTTTCGACCACTACAACTTTATGTAGAGATATTGGGTTTATCTCACACTTTAATTTTGACGCTTATTTTTATCATTTATTATTTCTTTATAATCAAATATATAAGCACATAAATCACATAATACTCAAATACTTCATCTTTATTACTTCAAAAAGATTTACAATAGTTGACCTAGACTATTACATCATCTAATAATACTTAGCCCCGAAACACGGGCGTTACACAGTAGATCCTTCCAGAAGCTATCATATGGACGAAATATATGTGGGCTACACACATAATTCGTCCACCCCTTCCAGAAGGAGCCACAAGCTCAACTTGCAACTATTAGATAATTGCAATACCAGTCCCCTTAATTTAATTAGTCTTTTTTAATCACCAAATTAATTCCAAATTAATTTCTGATCAATACTAATTAAATTAATATGATTTCTCAATTGATATATTATTCTTATAATATATTAATAAATCACAATTAACCTCTTTCACCATAATTCATCCTATCAAATTGCTATGGTGAAGGCAACCCAAAAGGACCATGCTACTATTGGGTCAAGTACATACCAATTATAGTTATGGGCTTAGACACCTAATCCAACAGTCTCCCACTTGGATAAGTCTAATAAATATAACTGCAAGTATGACTTCAAAATCCGATTAGCAATCGTAGCTCTCAAAAGCCGTTGTCGAACTCTGACCTAGTCAATAACGCGTCCTTTAGATAAGGGATCATGTAATCCTCCGTTCTCAAGATATCGTGTGGACAAAGACATGGAATAAAGTCATACTCATTGTCCAACAGTTTGTTTCCCGATTTCTGATTTGTTTGACATAGAACTTAATTGAACACATCAATTCGGTCCTGACCGGGCCTGGCACATAAGTCAACAGAAAATCATCGAGGGGCCCAATATATCGCTTTTAATCCTCTTAGGATAAAAGGAACATATAAACTTTGACTTATATGCTTGTACTATTTACTTATTAAATCGTACACAACAATACGTGTTATAACATCAAGTTACTGATGCGTTTACACATTATCAATGCACAACCAACTTGTAAACAACAACTCATATATCTCGGTTTAAAGACTATACGATATTATCGTCTCAGAATCACTCGTGATAAATTCCATGAAGTGATTCATATGAGCGTGGGTTTGATCCAATACTCAAATCTTATTTCAGGAGTACTCATGAACGTTGCAGCAAACTCTTGCTATGTCTAAACACTTAGACAATCTACAAGCCAATTCATGACAGTCTAACCTCATTACCTACTTCCAAAGTATGATTGTTTATATAGCACTCAAACCCTAAATATTAGGGTTTGCATCTGACACGAGTACGCTTAGCGTACACAAGTGTACGCGCAGCGTACTAAGGCGCGCCTTAGTACGCTTAACGTTCCTTGTGTACACTTAGCGTACTAGTCTTGTTCTCAAAGTTGCAACTTTAGCCCTTAGGCTTCTTATGGGTTGACTCTTATAACCCCAAGGACTACAAATGACAAAATAATAATAGAAGAGAGGATTCGGAAATACCTGCAAAAGGTATGTTACAAAAACCCCATAAGAGAAGATATAATCAACAACAAACCAAGGTATGAACTTGATACCTCAAGGAGACTGCAACAACTGGCGAGATTCTGGATCTATGACCTTCCTTCCAAGCTAGGCACCTTCAAACTCCAAATCTCCTTCAAATGAGCACAAAAATCCACAAGAATTCACTCAAAACTTCAAGAACACCACCAAGAAAGCTCAAAACTCGATTTAGGGTTTTAGATAACAAAGGAGGCTGGTAAGGAGGCCGGTCAAGGGGACTTAAGGCCTTTAAATAGGATGCAACACCCTAAAATTAGGGTTTCCTTCCCAGCTACCAACACGTCGTGTTGAGACATCTCAACACGTCGTGTGGGCTCATTAAACTCCGCGACTAAAGACATCTCAACACACCGTGTTGAGGCTCCAACACGTCGTGCCCCAAAGAGAAAACATAAACAACTTGGAAATAAATTCATACCAGGAAATCAAGCGTTACACACAGAGATAGAGCGTGCGCCTCGCCCAAGCGTGGTCGCTACTCATCCTCTCAGAAATGGACACGCGACGTCTGGTGGGTGGAGCCACGTCGCTGATGGGTAGGTAAGATTTAAAACTTCAAAAAATAATATCTCGGCCATACAAACTCCATTTTTGACGTTCTTTATATCTACACATATGTATTTTCGAGTACTACAACTTTCATTTAGACCATGTCGGCTAATTCTCAGCTGATCTTAAATTTAACAGTCTACGAAGATTACACTGTTAACGTTCGTGTAAAATTCATAACTTTCACATATGGATTCCGTTTTTGACTCTCTTTATATCGTTGAGCTTCTATTAACGAGATCTCCAATTCTCGTTTATATTGTTTCGGCTAAAAATCAATCGATCTAAAATTCGATTTCTGTGTCTGCACTGCTGCGCTGAAACTTCGAAAAATCATAACTTCCTCATACGAAGTCTGATTTGGACGTTCTTTATATGCACACTCTTGGTTTTAAGATTACTACGACTTTCGTTTAGATTACTTAGTCTAATAAGCAACCTATCTAAAATTCACTTTTTACAACGCTCGTTGCCGTATCGGGTTGAACGTGAAACTTCAAATGACCATAGCCTCTTCGTTATAAGTCGGATTAGAGCGTTCCTTATATATGCGAAATCTTCATCGCTACTACTTCATCTTTCATCAAGGATATTCGGCCTAATCATTATTCTATTTTAGACACGTATTTTATTCATATTATATCGCTATAAGCTTGTATATTACATATAATTACACCAGAATTAGTTTTGCCATCCAGAAAGGGCTAGCGGCATACCCGTTTGCCTTCCATCGATATGTATTGAACTATATTTGATTTCAATAGACATATGTGTGTACTAAATAAAAAAAAATTACACCAAAGCACATAATACTCAAATAATTTCCTTTATTACTTCATAAAAGGTTACAATTGTTGATCATTACAATTACATCATTTTATTAATGCCTAGCAAGAAAATGCGGGAGTTACATTTTCTCCTGAGCTAAACTTGTTACATTAATTATTTTAGATTAAATTATATGAATAATTCTTGTGATTTAGGGTAGTATGCACGTTTAATGTTTTCAATTGCTTTATACAAAACATAGCCCTTGTGCGTTGAAGGATGATCGTATCCCCTGATTCGGGCTTCTGAAAGAAGAAGTGGATTTGTTAGTGTTTTCGGTTGATTCCTATGTACCAAGATATTGTTTGCTTTGGGCCATCCGATACGAAGACTTCCCATGGGTTACCCAAAGTAAAACTAGTTATTGATGATGACTGGATACGTTTTTACCAACGACAAAAGCGATGAGGTGGATAAAGGGACAATAATCCATTTAAAGTCATTGAGAGCGTTTGAGTTAAAAAAGTTAAAGACTAAATGTAACGTTGCCACAAGGATTATTCATATAATTTACTCTAAAATCATTGATGTAACAAATTTACTTGTTGAAAAAAAGGAAAAAAATAAAAAGGAAAAAAAATAGTAGTTTTTTTTAAATTTTTTTGAAATTATAATAAAAAAATAAAGCGACTAAAATGAAAAGAATAACCAAGTTCAATGACCAATGATAGCTTAAACAAAATATAATGACGAAAATAAAAAACTAAGAAAAAGTTCAATGATTAATTATAAGTATAATCTTGACATGTTGTTCGAAACGACTAAAATAAAACATCAAGAAAAGTTCAATGATTAATTGTAACCTTACTATCACCGGTTAGAATAATCAAAATGAACAAAAATAAAAAATTCAATAGTTAATGGTAACTTAAAGAAAATATAACGATCAAATAAAACATCTTAAAAAGTTCAGCCACATAAAAAAAAAAAAAAAATCTTAAAATTAAACCTAACCTAATTCTCAGCTATTTGCGTACGTTTGTGCCCCTTTCGTATACGAACCAGAAGACCACGAGAACCACTTCTTCATTCCTCGCTGATCTCTCGCCTCTCACTCTCAAATCAGCATCGAGGCCACCGGTGAGCTCCTCAAACCACCTGTGAGCTACACCACCAGCGAGCTCCCCCACCACTGGAGACAAAGGTAATAAACAAAATACTAAAATAGTTCAAAACTTCAAATCTGTTTGGAATTAGAATGAACCCATGGATGTTTGAAGCTTTTAGTTTCTCTCGTGTGAATCACATATGATAGTGATTTGGTAAACTGGTAGTATTTTGGCCTGTTGAGTGTCGATTTTAGCTGCTACATGTAATCTGTCTACTGGTCCATGTGTTGTCAAATATGAAATCTTTTTAACAAATGATTACACGGTGCAATACTTGTAATCTCTCTACTGGTTTGTATAAGGAATGCGCTATGATTGTTGATTTACTAAATGATTAAAGTTTTTGCTGTTGGGTATTTTAATTTTGGAGATATTTTTATATATTTTATAATTTTAAGATTAATTATTATTATCCGGTTGGGTTTTGAAAAGTATGCCGATTCTAAATCGCAGCCGCAGGTGATGGGAATGGCGATGATTTGAGTGGACGCTGTGAGAGAGAGAGAGAGAGGTCATGAACGTTCTTGGAAGAGCTTCCTTAAGCTGGCCGATTGTTCTGGCAACCATGAAAAGATCATTTAACACCCTCAGAATCTCCCCTGATCCTTCCCTTGCTCATGGTATACACGTTTTTCATTGCCCTGTAAGTCTCCCCCTCCTCTCATATGTATTTGAATTTGCTCTTGTTTTTTTTTTTTTATCATAAAAGTCGTGAACATTGTTCTTTATGAACTATACAATACTATTGTAAATCATTAGGACTTAATCGGAATAGCATATTAGGGATTTAAATGTGTTTGAACCGAGGAATAGATTTATTGAATTGTATGGACTAGAGCTATTTTGGTATATACAAATTAGCAGAAAATAACAAAAGCATTAACCAACTTATAAATGTTTACATTGAATTCCTTATAACCACAAGATGTAATGTAATTAAGAAATTCTTATTGCCATACCTACTTTGTAGATGTAATTAAGAAAGTCTTGTGTCTTTTTGATCACGGCTTCACTACCCACTCTACAAGTTGTATTGTATATAATATATATTTTGACTATGTCTCAAACAAATTGACAATTCGATGACTTGGAGTTTATTGTATTCTGAATAGGATCAAGTTGGAATCGTGGCAAAAATATCCGAGTGTATTGCGTCAAGGGGAGGGAACATATTGGTAGCTGATATTTTTGTGCCCCACAACAAAAATGTCTTCTACTCAAGAAGGTTAGTATGTGGTGTGGTCTACTTGTGTTTTATTTATTTATTTATGTTGATAAGATTGTTTGTATTTTTTAGGTGTTTTCACTTTTCACTTATTTTGCTCTTGAAGTCAAGATTTTGGTGAACCACTAATTACCATCTAGATGTGAAAATCAAGCAAACTTTTGTTTGCCATGATTTTCTATTAGACAATTAAGCGTAATATATATATATATATATATATATATATATACCCTTAAGGGTATATAAGCTTAGGTACCCAAACCCACCATAATACGTCGTTTTGTTTGATATATTCATTATAATGTTCTTTAACTTCAATTCCTAACTTGATTTACAATCAAGATTTTCGAAATTTCACTATTATATTCCTCTTACATCACATCTTTTTGCCGAACACCTACTAGGCTATATATATTATAGTTGAAAATGAAAATTATGTAAGAGGGAGATAAATGTGAAATTTATAAAAATCTTGGAAGTAAATTAAGTTATAAGTTGAATAATAAGAACATTGGTCAATTATAATGTATATATATGATACAAAACGACATAGTATTGTGAGTTTGCGTACCTAAGTTTATATACCCTTAATGGTATATTCACTTTTCCATATATATATATATATATATATATATATATATATATATATATATATATATAAGCGGGTTTAGAGTGTAAGTATATCTCTTATATATACTCTATTGTAATCGTGATTTACATACAATAATACAACATATTGATTACCAAGTTTATCTTGGTATCAGAGCCATATCCCACAAACCCTAAAAGTTGTCGATTGCCCTTTCTTCTCCCTTCCCTGTCGTTGTTGTCGACTACAAGACAAGACAAGACATGTCTTTTTTTTTTTTTTTTTTTTGTCGTCTGTCTATGAATGACTCTCATTGTAGCCTTCACCTCAGCTGAGAAAACCACACATAACTCTCACAAGTTTGGCTTCACTTTATCTCCAAATAATTATGGCTCTTCTTCAAATAATTATGGCTCTGGAAGTAATGGTTCAATCATTCCTTGTCACTAACAACCTGTTCGGTTATATTGATGGCACAAGTTCTCGACAGCATCACAGTGCCGCCACCACAACCTAACCCTAATTACATAACATGGGTCTCTGAGGCATCATTTCGACACGTTCAAGGAATTACTTTTTGTGATCTCTAGTTGACTCTCTGCGTGCGTATGCTCATCACACATCCTCTAGGAAATACACCCTAAAGGCTCAACTTCTCAAACTAGAGATGAATGATGATGAAACCTCATCTGCATAACTGACAAGAAGAATGAGGAATGCTCTAATGCGCTCGACAATATAGGCGAACCAATGAAAGACAAAGATTTGGTGATGTTGGTTATCTCGGGTCTTAGAGAAGAAGAATACAATGGGTTGAAATCAACTCTTCTTGGTTGTCAATTCCCATCTGCCTTTGTAGAACTTCATGTTTGTTATTTGACCATGATTACATGATCAAGAAATCACCAATCGACGTCTCTCCGGCTCAAGCATTCACGACTGTCACAAACAGTCGCACCTCAACGATTCTAAGTGCCACTTCGTCTATTCGTTCACCGGATCAACGCGCTATTCAATAGTTTCTTTTACAGCTTGGTCTTCAAGTTCAGCTCGTCCATGCACAACCTGTACAAGCCCTTTACACAAACAGATCTGGAAATAACCGTGGTTGTGGTCGTGATTCTAGATGTAGATGAGGAAACTACAACAACAAACATCAAGGAAGAGGTAACCGTAATCAATTTAGTTGGGCTTCTAATCAAAACATTGTTTTTGGCACATGCAATAGGTGTGGGATTGGTCATATCCCGTCTTAATGCCCTAATTGTGATCCAACTACTATGAGGACGAGGCAGCCACCTTCGGCCAACATTACTATAGACTACCGTTCACAAACGACTAGCTCTTGGCTTCCAGATACCGGCTCTAGTCATCATGTTGCACCAGACCTATCTACCTTCGATAACTTTGAGGCCTACTTTCTGTCCAAAAATTGTCTTGATAATCATGTGTACTTTGAATTTCACTCCACTTTCTTTGTTGTTAAGGACAAGCTTACACACACTATCCTCTTCATGGATCCAAGTAATGGAGGTCTCTACTCCTTCCGTCTTCCTCAAACTCAACCGGTTCACAAAATTGTGTTTTCTACCCGTCGTGCTTCTTCCACCACATGGCACCAAAGATTTGGATATCTACATCCTCAGCTTTTGAAGTCCATGTTATCTAAATATCATTTACCTTTACAAAATAAGTGTGTTAATATTTTTTGTTGGTAAATCGTCTAAACTTCATTTATCACCATCTATTCATAAAAGTTCGCACATTATTTTCTGTGATGGGGTCATGCTCCCGTTACCTCTTATGATGGTCACAAATTGTTTTATGTTGTGTGTTGATCATTACTCTAGATTTATGTGGATTTTTCCATTAAAGTTAAAAACTGATGTTATGTCACTTTAAAAAAATTCCTTGCGATGATTGAAAGACAGTTTCAAGCCAAACAAAAATCAGTCCAAATGGATTGGGGAGGCGAGTTTCGGAATCTCTCCCATTTCTTCTCTCCTCTCGGCATCACTCATCACGCATCGCCTTTCATGTCCGCATACTAGTGAACAAAATGGTTTTGTCCGGTCTTACTTTACTTGCTCCACAACGGTTTTGGCATTTTGCTTTTGACACCGTTGTATATCTTATTTTATTAACCGAATGTCCTCCAACACCTCACCCTTTGAACATGTGTTCAAGCATAAACCCGGATTTTCCTTTCTCCGGGTTTTTGGATGTCATGTCAATGTCAGTGCTTTCCTCATTTCCGTCCATACAATAAACACTAAATGGACTTGCGTTCTACACCTTGTGTGTTTCTTGGTTACAACATGACTACCAACCACAATCTGAATGCATCTGTATCTGTGTGGCCCGTAATGTTCGATTTAATGAACAATCCTTTCCTTTTCAAAAACCTCTTACAACCATTCCAAATCCTGCCTTACCTTTCACAAATACCTAATGCACAATCTGTCCCACCAGAAGCAGATACAACACCTACCTCACCTCATGAACAGCCCTTATTCACACCTATCACCTACTGCCCCTTCCTCTAAATACCAAACAACCCCAATCCCAAACAAACCAAACCTTACACTGCCATATACCCATACCCATACCCAATGCACTTCGCTTGACACCCAACCAGCAACCTTTACCATTGCTGCTAACAGGAACCCTAAATGGTACAACTATTATTATTTATTATTATTATTCTAGTGGTGTCACTGTAAGCTTTTTAATGAAGTTATAACTGAATGGCTTGCAAAAACTCATATACTCAGTTTACCATCTAACTTATCTTTTCGCATTGGATTTCATTTTTTTTTCACCAATCTAAGACTCGCTGGAGTTTGCCTTTCTTACTAAGATTCCCCATGCAAGCATTTACAATACCTGCAAGGCTCCTTGCCAAATTTGCACTGAATAGTTCTTCATATATACTCTTTTTAAAAATAAAAAAATAAATTTAAGCAGAAGAGTTTGTGTTACACTACACTTGATAGTAGTTGTAAAGGTAGAAAATAAGTAGAATTACAATAGCTGTGAGATTGAGGGGTATTTTGGTCATTCTGTTAGGAGATGGATGTTAGGGAGTGAGTATCTTTGAACAGAATTAGTTGAGTGAGAAATCACTTTGATTTTACTCTAAATCATTCATAATTCTGCAATTAAACCCTAGTGTTGTACATGAGTTTGATGTGTGTTGGTTTTACAAGTGCAAGTATATTAATCTAATAATCCCAACTTCACATGAAGTTGATAAGTAACAAGTAAGAATAAATTGTGTTTCAGTGAGTTTGTGTTCGACCCAATTAAATGGCAGCGGAAGCAAATGAACGAGGACTTCCTTGACCTATCAAAGATGTTCAATGCAGTTAAATCGCTTGTTCGAGTGCCTTCTGTAGACCCCAAATATAAAATTGCTCTTCTTGCTTCTAAGCAGGTTCTTCTTCTTCTTCTTCTTCTTCTTCTTGTTCTTGTTCTTTCTAGGATATAATTCAAAAGCGAAAACCAAAAATAGTATTAGATTAGTAAGGAGGTTGCTGGTGCAGGACCATTGTCTTGTTGATCTACTGCATGCTTGGCAAGATGGAAAACTTCCGGTTCAAATAAGCTCTGTAATCAGGTAAAGCATGGGACTTTGATTTTTTATTTGTTATCTTTGACCAGTAAATGTTGTATATATATCTGTATTTTTGAACAGCAATCATGATAGGGTGGGGAATACCCATGTGATGCGGTTCCTTGAAAGACATGAGATTCCATATCATTATCTGTCCAAGTCAAAGGAGAAGAATGTAGAAGATGAGATATTGGGGTTGGTTGAAGATACAGATTTCTTGGTCCTTGCTAGATACATGCAGGTAAATGTTCTTTCTAGTATAGCAGCAGGATAGGGTAAAGGTCTTATTTGTTTATTTACATTTTACCCAGGACAGGTGTTGTCTGGAAACTTTTTGAAAAGATATGGGAAGGATGTGATTAACATACATCATGGCTTATTGCCATCATTCAAGGGAGGAAATCCATCTAGGCAGGCAGGTTCTGTGTTTTCAATTTCCAAAAAATATATTTTAAGCTTTTTATTTTATGTTTTTTTTTTTTACTGGAGAATGGCAGGCTTTTGAAGCTGGGGTCAAATTGATTGGTGCCACAACCCATTTTGTCACGGAGGAGCTTGATGGAGGCCCAATCATTGAGCAGATGGTAATAAAAGAGTTTTCAGTTTCTCAACAAAAGCAAGTATCAGTAGTCAGTAGTTTCTGTTTGGGTTGCAGGTTGAGAGAGTCTCCCACAAGGATAATTTGCTGAGTTTTATTCAGAAATCTGAGAATCTTGAAAAACAATGCCTTATGAAGGCAATCAAGTCATATTGTGAGTTACGCGTTCTACCTTATGAAGACAACAGGACTGTTGTATTTTGAGTAAGGTCAAAATGATGCTGTTGCAAATTTTTGTATTTCAGTTTTCACATTCTAATTTAAGTTGTTCCAATCCAATCCAAGTGGGCATAATAATAAGATAAAGAGTCATTCTAATTGTGTGTTCATAATCATATATATGTGCATTCTCAATTCTCCTTCTTAAATTCATTGTTGTTGGAGTTTTCTTCTCTGTCAAACTTTGTGTTTTCTAGTGTGATACTTGTTTGAACACGGAAACTTTTGTTGATGTTGATTGATATATATAATATATATATAATATATATATATATATATATATATATATATATATATATATATATATATAGTGGAAGCAAACAGAAAAAAAAAATAAAGTAAATCACCAATGAGACAAGGCGCATAGCATATGCATATATGTTAAGTAGAGTAGTGTGTACATAGTCACAAGGGTTACAAAAACCAAAGCTATAATTAATAGCTAGACTAGATGCAGTCATAAAGCATGAGTCCATGACACATGGTTGATGGTTGTCTAGTCTAAGCTTTTTGATGGAATGCGAATGCCTGATGTTGGTTGGTTGGTAGTTTGTTTGATTTGTAGAAGATATTGAATTGTATCAACCCATTTCTGTTTGTGGATGTTTGTCTTGCACTTGAACTCCAGAAGACCTTTGGCTGTTTTAACCCCAAAATAGGTATCTGCATTTTCCCTTTCTTTGCAGTATGGCCAAGACCCTTTCTCATTGCACACACCATACACAACACCTGTCATTTGATTAATTCAAGTATTTTCATTTTCATTTTGTGTTGCTGTTTGTGGGTCCGGTCCTAGTTCTAGTCCTAGTCCTACTATAATACTATATATTATTAGGTGAGGAGGAGCAATGCTCTCTTTCTTTCACTTGAGATGTAAATATACTAATTAAATGAGTATTATATTAGGAAGAGAGATGGGAGTGGGACCCACAAAATGGTCCTAGGTAGTAAACAAAAAGTTTTTTTTTAAATTTTTTTATCATCGGTTTAAATTACATTTGCCATGCCATGAAGTGGAAGCTTGCCTTTATTCTTTGTGGAAAAGGCCCCTCCCACATAATTGCTTTTGAGCTTGATTATAACCTGTCATGCAAAAATTTAGTGCCATAATTTTTGTTTTACACAAATCTCATACTTTGGTTTTCTAAATTTTTTTTACCTGGGACTTGTTGTTTATGTATATGGATACTTGCTTCCAGTGTAACCCTCCTGGGCATTGATTGATCAGAAAGCTGGTCAGCCTTTCATATACTTATTTTCTCATATATATATATATATATATATATATATATATATATATATATATATATATATATATATATATATATTACTAGTAGTATTTTCATGATACATACGATGAGATGAAATCATGAAATGAAAGCAAGCAACCTTTGTATACTTGTTGCAGCATGTGTTGAGTAGAAGAGTGATGGTGGTCGTCGTCCTCCTCCTCCTCCTCCTCCTCGTGGGGTTTAAATTTAATGGTTTGAGTGTGAGCAGCAGGAGGTGGCATTCCCTTTTCATATGGAATGACAGTAGCATTCTTTTTTGCTTGTTTTGGAAATCTAGCTTTCAGGGCTGCTTCACCTCGCAAAGCTATATTATTGTAATTGAATAATTGAGTGTATATATATATATATATATATATATATATATATATATATATATATATATATATATATATATATATATATTCTATTTAAAAATATAGTTGAGTTGATGAGGATGAGGATGAGGACCTGTTGCAGCTGCAGCTGTGAGAGTTGTTAGATGGGTTGGAGTTTGGATGTTGATGGCTGATTGGAGGACAGACAAGACAAGATGATGATCAGCTCCAGAGGATTCCGCCAACTCACAGCAATGGGTTGCTAACAGCTCTGTAGCCGATGCAACAGCACTGCTCATTCTTGAATCCTCCTCCATGCTTCTCGCTCTTGTGATGGAGGCCAAAGCCGCCGCCAGACCCGCAACAGACAGGGCGGCATGGGTCTGTGCTTTTTCTGCCCGGACTTTATCTTTCTTCCCTCCCCCTCGTATGCTGCTGTGATTAAACCATCTAACCCTTTCAACTTTTGATACCTTCATCACCTTTGTTTGCTGCAACAAATTATCAGTTAAAACCAATATTCCTTTGAATTTCTTAAATTTTGGGATTTCAGAAATCATCAACTAACTCCTCACAGGTTGTGGTTGTGGTTGTGGTGCAACCAATGATGATTCCGTTTTTCTTGATTTATGTGCCATTAATGCTTTTGAAATTTCATCAGCAGAAAGACTCCAGGATCTGGACAAAAATTCCATCGGCTCCATTGGTGTTTCTGGTTGTGGAATCAATTCTCCTGACTTCTCACTTTCCATTCTTTAGCTTCCCTCCCTCAAAAAACCAGTCTATATCCACAAGAAAAAAAAAAAACATCAAAAAATTACAACACAAATAACAATCGAGTCATCATAAATTTAGGTTTCTGGTGCAATTAAAAATAATGAAATGAGACAAAGCCATGTAATGTTGGGCTTGTGGGTACACGTACAACTCATTCTCATGAGATTGGGCATTACCATTAACCAACCTTTTAGAAACAAAGATGTACATGTGTGATATGCATGCCAACCACAGGAAAACTTTGGAACTCTATCAAGTACTCAACTCAACTCTCTCTCTCTCTCTCTCTCTCTCTCTCTCTCTCTCTATATATATATATATATATATATATATATATATATATATATATATATATATATATACTCCCTCCGTCCCATATTAATAGTTCATGTTTCCTTTTTGGTTTGTCCCAAAATAATTGTCTACTTCTAAAAATAAATATGTCTTTTACCATAATACCCCTCATTATTAGTTAAATTACCATAAAATTAAATGCAACTACCATAGAATTAAATGCAACAGAAGGGTAAGACTGTCATTTCCTTTAATAAAGTTAATGGTAATTAATGTTTTCTTAAAATGTATGTTTTTGTCTGTGGACTATTATTTTGGGACGGAAGGAGTATATATATATATATATATATATATATATATATATATATATATATATATAGGGTGAGGTTCAATAGAGAACCATATATAAATATTTCATATATGTGCTTGAATGCTCTAGAAATTGAAAAAAAGATTTGGTTCCTTGAAGAACCAATAATTATGGTTCTCTATTGAACTTTTCCATATATATATATATATAATATATATATATATATATATATATATATATATATATATATATATATATATATATATATATAAACTATGGAGTATGGACTATGGGTGAGGGGTCAGTCATGAGATCAGTGGAGAGACAGACATGATGGGTAACATAAACATAAGACTTGAATCCTGTGCTTGTAAGTTCTTGTCTCCCATAAATTAAGGTAAGGTGTTGCCACCCTAAAACTAAACGCTCTCTTCTCTTGTGTTGTGTTGAGTTTGTCCCTATAAAGACGAGCATAAGTACATGCTTAAAACCCCGATTATGGACCCACATTATACTAATATTAATATTCCTCTTTATCATCAAAATTGTGACACTTTATTCTTTTCGACGACGTTGGTTTTGGAAAATTCTTTTAGACTATTTATCAAATATTTATATTTTATTCTATTACTGTCACGTATCCTGAAATTATGTGTAATGGCAACAGCAACCACAAAAAAAAAAAAAAACTTAATTTGAAATACTTTGATTAAATTATTAGATATTTCATATATGTGCTTGAATGCTTGGCCTTCGGTTGGTGTTGGGTGATATGCATGTGAAAATATTTCTCGGTTTTTGGGTAACTTGTTTCCAAATTCTCCAGCAATCTGCCTGTTTAATTCTTTAATATACCTGTTTAATTCCTCTTTCTTTCTCCATCGATGCATGTCATTGCCTACATGACGTAGCCAAGATTTTGTTTTAGGATATGTCATAAATTTATAAAATATGATCGATTAGCAAAATACTTCAAATGATAACAAAATGTAACAATGTATGCATTCTAAAACAAATTATTCATTTAAGTAGCACACAATGCTCTCTTATACCATTAAAATTATTTAGAATAGAGTCTAAAAATAGAAGCTTAGTGATATCAATTATAAACATAGTCTAATATTTTTATACAAAATAAACTTATAATACAGATAATTTGTTCATAGCAAGAAGTAATAACCTAATTTATTAGAAACATACGATAAAAATATAAAATCAATGCAAACCTAAATTGGTAAAAAGTAAGTTAACTAAAAGTTGTCTATGATAAAAATAAAAACAAGTAGTTGAGTATTAAGATAATAGAAAAAAAATTAATATACTAACCTGATGGTTGATGGCTGATGAATAATGATGTTGGTGAATAATGAACGAAATATGAAATAAATAGCAACAATTCAAAAAGTTAACAATTCAAAAAGTGGCGGTTATCAAATCTTTGATCGGCAAAATCCAGACCATATGAAGCAATTTTTTTTACTTAACAAAAATATATATGGTATATAAGACTTAGATCTGTGTCGGGTGGGTCAAGGCCTAACTTTGTGTAACGTCTCGAAAATCACATGGAAAAATTTTCATTATTAAAATATTAATCCATACAACAATTTGTTCCCAAAAACAATCAATGTGAAAAATAATATTTAAACATCAAAGTAAAAGTCGTAAACAACTACTACGGAATAAAACCATGGGTATGTTGTGCAGTCACGCCGGACCCTTCCCTTTTAAACTGGAAGTACCTAAAACCATAACCATAAAACGGTAAGCACAAAGCTTAGTGAGTTTCCCAAAATACCATATACCATACATATCATTGGGCCCAGCCCGCATATTGGGCCCAACCCATAATAATGGGCCTAGCCCGTCCTAATCAATGGGCTCAACCCAACATACAATTAGGCCTAGCCCGTCATACAATAAGCCTAGCCTAACATACAACGGGCCCCACCCACTCATGCAATGGGCCTAGCCCTACATGCATGTCCATGGACCCAACCCAACATACAATGCAAGAGTCATAAAGACAACTAGCATTCTACATAACACATTCCAGTGGGACGACATTAGTGCCTTCGACCCACAAGTATAGTGAGGAGACTCACCTCAATCCGATGTCAATAAATCTCACACTCGAGCTGCTGCTACCACGACTTCTCACACTGAACATATCAAATATCAATCCTAATCAATAATTAAGGTAATAACCCATAATCAAAGGTCCAATCATATTCTATCATGCTAAGGGGTAAAAGACTATTTTACCATTCCCATACTTGGCCTAACCAATCATGGCCCAAACCCAAAATGATCTAAAGCCCAAAATGGACCAAAATTGCTTATGGTGAGTACGCCCCGCGTACCACCATTGTACGCCCATCGTACATCGTGCTCAAAGAAAAGGTAACGGGCTGAAACCCGTTACGCGCAGTGTACCGGGACGGTACGCCCAACGTACGCCGCTGCTGCCCAAACTCCACTCCATGTACTCATTTAAGTTTTCCAAAAAGTGACGATTTTATCCTTGGATGAGTTTTGGGGGCATTAAAGTCGGATACTTTCATTAAACCTATCAAATATCTCATTTAACAAGTTGGACCCTTTGTAGCCGGTTACCATGTGCTGATTTGGCACTTAATTGACATGTTGGCACAGACGTTACTCTGTTACGTCCGTTTACCCACCACCTAATCTCACCCTTTTGCACATATACGTACACTTTCTCAGAATTCTTCAGAAAGTCGACATCATTCATCTTAAAATTAGGGCTTATGGTTTTTGAAGAAGATTAGGTTATTGAAGAGTCGGTTTCACAGGGTATGTGTAATTTCTTTGAAGATTGTGTTATTACAGTTCTTTGTTCTTCAAAGGTTAACGAATAACGACAATATGTGTTTGTGTTTTTTTTTCAGGTTGTTATGATGGATTGGGATTCAGAACACGAAGGTAACACATACCCATTTTTTGGTTTACGTGAGCCTTTCTCTGGTCTTAATGAGATGGATTTTGAGCTTCATGGCATCTACATGGATCATGAACCAGACGAAGAGTTCATTACTCCACTGGACAAGTGTAAGGATGCATTTCTTAATGTGTTACTAAGTGATGAAAATATTAGAAACTCTAGTTTGACTAATGATGTAAGAGCACAAGTGTATCATCGTGGTGACTTGCAAAGTGATGAAAATGAAAAAGAGCAAGAACAGGTGATAAACAAGTACAGATTACATGATCCAAAAACAAGATGGGACAAAATGGAACCAAAACTTGGTGATATTTTTTAGAATGTTACACAACTGAAGTTTTGTATCCAAAACTACGCAGTCCACAATGGGTATCAACCCTACTTTGAGAAGTGTGACAGTACAAGAATAGTTGTAAGATGTGGGAAAAGAAATGAGGATAATTGTTGCCCTTTTAGACTATATGCCTCATGGATGTTCAATGAAAGATCTATTCAAATCAAGACTTTAGAAGCTACTCATGTTTGTGGTAAGAAGTTCAAACTTGGTTGTATGGTTACTCCTGAATGGATAGGTAGACACTACATAACTGAAATTGCAAATAAACCTAAGGTGAAGCTTAAAGAGATGATTACTGACATCAGACAAAGGTTTAGGTGTGCTGTGTCTATAGGCCAATGTCGTAGGGCAAAGAAATGGGCCGAGGAGCTAATTGAAGGTAAATTGACTGAACATTATGCCAAAATATGGGATTATGCACAAGAGTTGTTAAGATCCAATCCAGGTTCTACATGTAAGGTGTGTGTTACTGTCAATCCAGATGGGATAAACTATTTTCATAGGTTTTATATTGGTTTCAAAGCTATATGTGAAGGCTGGAAATGAGGGTGTAGAAGAGTTATTGGTTTGGATGGGTGCTTTCTGAAGGGAGCAGTAAAGGGTGAGTTGTTGACAGCCATAGGTAGAGATGCCAATAATCAGGTCTACCCAATTGCTTGGGCTGTTGTCGATGTTGAGAATAAGGCTAACTGGACATGGTTCCTTGAGCTTCTAAGGGATGATTTAGATCTTGATAGTGGAAGAGGTTTGGTAGTGATATCAGATCAACACAAGGTAAAATTTAACATACTTGTCCTCTACTTAATTGCATAATTATCTTATTACATATTTGTCCTCTATTAAACTAATTAAATGGTTGTCTGGTAGGGTCTGCTTGAATCTGTGAAAGATATACTGCCTCATGTTGAACACAGGAATTGTGCTAGGCACATTTATGTCAACTTTAGAAAGGCTTTCACAGGTGTGGAGTATAAGAAGTTGTTTTGGGCTGCCTCTATGAGTTGCACAGAAGGTGACTTCAAGAGGCATATGGAAAGCATCAAGAAATTGAGCCCTTCTGCATATGAATACTTGATGTCAAAGCAACCAGAAACATGGTGTAGAGCCTATTTTGGAACAGGATATGCATGTGAAGCAGTTGAGAATGGGATCTCAGAGTGCTTCAACTCAATAATATTGGATGCTAGGAAAAAACCTTTGATCACTATGCTTGAAGAGATACGGATTTATATCATGGACAGGTTTGCTTACATGAATGTGGAAAGTGAAAAGTGGAATTCAAATGTTTGTCCAAAATTTTTGAAAAAAATGAATAGATTTGGGAAAAATATGAGGTAATATTTTATGCTTTCTAAAACTTATCTTAATCATTAATTATTGTTACTAACTAGATACTTGATTGTAGGTTCTGGGGAATAATTCATAGTCAAGGGCATGTGTTTGAGGCCAGAAGAGGGTGTGACAGTTATAGGGTGGACTTAGATGATATGACATGTTCATGTAGGCTGTGGGATTTGGCTGGCATCCCTTGTGTGCATGCAAATGCAGCAATTAATTTTATCCATCAAACACCAGATGCATACATCAATGCATACTTCTCTAAAGATAAATTTAGGCAATGTTACTCAACAAACATTGAACCTGTTAATGGCAGCAATCTTTGGGCCCAAACTGAATACATTAAGCCATTGCCTCCAATGTCTAAGAGGATGCCTGGTAGGCCTGCTACCAAAAGAAAGAGGCATGCCAGTGAGAAGGAGAGCAAGTTTTCAACAACAAAAGTGAAGGTTGCAAGAACTACCAGATGTGGTAATTGTTTGGAATATGGTCATAACAAGAGGGCATGTAAGAATGAGAGAAAACAATATGTGCCTCCCCCACCAAAGAAGACAGGAAGGCCAAGAAAACATCCCATCCCCCATGTGTCTACAAGCCCTGGTCAACCAAATGTCCCAAGTCAACCTCCATGCTCTAACACAGTGAGGAGGAGTCCAAGAAAACATAACACATTGAGGATGAGTCTCAGAAAACATCAGCAACAGGCAGGTTCTAAAAGATTTAGGAGAAATAGTATTGATGTACCAAGGAAGAAGTTGTGCACAAGGAGAGGTGGTGGGAGGATTGGTTCTGCAACTATAGGTACTCAAGAGAGTGTGGTTCAACAAGTTCCAGTTGTTGATGAGGGTGAAAATGTGATGGGTGATAATGTGGGTCAAAGTGTAGTTCAACAAGTTCCAGTTGTGCAGGAAGTTCAAGTAATTCATATTCAAGATGGTCATATGATGCAAGAAGGAGAAAGTAGTCAAGCAAGTGTGATGGAAGGTAGTGACACTTTTGGGCAAGTAGGGTCCAGTATTGGTAGGAAGCTTAAATCAATAAATGATGAAATTGAACAAGGTATTGATTCAATTTTAGAAGGGGTTAACTTCACAAACAAAACAAAGTCCAGTCCACTAAATGGTGACAATGAGGTGGAAGATAATCAGTTTATTGAGTTTACTGAGGGCAAAGAGGATGATATTCTCCCAGAGAAGATACAATTAGGACCTAAAGAAATTGCTAGTATGCTAGAAGCTGGTTATAGCATGGCAGAAATAGAAGCTATGCCAGGGGTACAAGTGGAATTGGATGATTCCCCACCAGTTGAACTGGTAAGACCTATTATCTTTTATTAATTAACAATTTTTATGGTGATTCTTGTGACCTAATTATATCTTTTTACACTAGGATGTAAATGATTTCATTGATGGTCATCATTCTGATGATGATGTTGGTCTGGATGGTGGAGCTGAAGGTGCTGGAGATGAAGCTGCTGGTGATGGTGGTCTGGATGATGATGTTGGTCTGGATGCTGGTGATGGTGATGAAGAAGGTCCTGGTGGTGGAGATGTTGATGATGGTGATGGGCCTGAAGGTGATGGTGATGAAGAAGGTCATGGTGGTGGAGATGTTGATGATGGTGAGGAAAACCAGGGTGATGATGAAGGACATCAGGTTGTCCTAATCGTTAGGAGGAGAATAAGGAAAACTTCTGAGAGGATTACCAAGATAAAGCTAAGAAAGGGTGTCTATGACAAAGATGGTGGTGGTTCTTCTTTTGTAAAGCCAATCAACTTGGAGTAGTTTGTTAGCAAGAAGGGGGATGGGGGTGTAGGGGGAATGGTATAGGTTGCCACTTTTGTAAACTTTGTTTTTTGGCATTTTGATTGTAGCATGCATCCAATTGTTAATTTTCTTACCATTTAGGTTGCCTTTTTTGTGCAATGTTTAGGCATTTTGGTACAAATGGATGGCTGCTACATATTGGTAGTATGTAATTAAACTATATGTAATGGATACACCCCCTTCTATATTATGTTCAATCTTTTAGAATTGTTACCATTCACTAATTATTTCTGCAATATACCATTTTATGCAATGTTATTCAAACTTGCAAATACACACCAATTGTTACCATTCAAACTTGCAAATACACACCAATTGTTCAGTCTTTTAGAATTGTTACCATTCACCAAAACACTTGTTACCATTCACCAAATCTTACCATTCAACAACTTGTACTACAAATTTATACCAATTACCATTTTAATTCAATCTAAAACAAAACAAACCAAATGTTACCATTCACCAGTTGTTACCATTCAGAAATTTATACCAATTACCAGTTGTTAATTCAATATACTTACAAAACAAACCAGCTTGCACTCCAGTTAACATCCATACATTAGAAATTAACATCCATACATTGCAAACCAACTTGAATTCCAGTTAACATCCATACATTAGAAATTAACATCCATTAACATCCATACATTAGAAATTAACATCCATACATTGCAATTAGCATCCACACATTACAAATTACAATCCTAACATTACATATACCTAACAAACTATCAAATACCATCAAAAGCTCAAAAGCTACATATTTCAAGATCACAATACTGCTCCCTTCAGAAAAGCCACCCTTTACTACTCCCTTCAGAAAACACCCTTTATTGCCATTAAATCTTGCATAACACTAGAACAAGGATGAACAATATAGCCCCTAACAAAACAACAACCATCTGCATTAATGCCATCATTTGTCACTGCTCTGTAATGCGATTTGACTCTGGCATCATGTCTTGCTTTTGAATTCCTTCATTGTCAACCCATCTGAAAAACCCACAACCTCCTTCTCCCTACATAATTAGGTCAGTGCATAATACCCTTACTGCAATCCTGCTAAAGAAAAGGGAAAATGATTTTTACCTTATAATTAGGGCACCCCCAAAATTTCTTGCCTGGATTTTCTGGTGTGCGTGAAACAAACACATGGCATAAATCTTCACACCAACACTTCACTTCGATCTTCTTCTTGAATTGTGAATGTGAATTCGAGCTTGATTTTGCAGAAGATGTTGGCATTTTGCGTGGGAGAATATTTTGCGTGGGATATTGCGGTGCGAGAGGATGCAAGAAACAGGGGGTGGGGAAGGGTTATGTGGGGAGAGGGTTGGGGCCCACGTTGTTTGACATGTCAATTAAGTGCCAAATCAGCACATGGTAACCGGCTACAAAGGGTCCAACTTGTTAAATGAGATATTTGATAGGTTTAATGAAAGTATCCGACTTTAATGCCCCCAAAACTCATCCAAGGGTAAAACCGTCACTTTTTGGAAAACTTAAGGGCTTTATTGACAATTTTCCCAATATTTTTATACAAAATAAACTTATAATACAAATAATTTGTTCATAGCAAGAAGTAATAACCTAATTTATTAGAAACATACGATAAAAATATAAAATCAATGCAAACCTAAATTGGTAAAAAGTACGTTAACTAAAAGTTGATGGGTTTTAGGTAAAACAAATAAACTAGAAAACAATTCCTAAGTTCACATGCAACCTACTTTGGATCTATGTTTTAACTATTGAACATACAACTTTGAATTGCAAAAAAAGAACCCTAGAGGAGAGAGGCTAATTTCGAAATTAACAAACTAGGGTTTAGGTGTTACATACCTTTCAATTGTTATAGCAAACAATTTGATAATCCTCTTGATTTTGATTTTGATCTTCTTGGAAGCTTAGCACCACAAATGTAATGCCTCTAATGGAATCACACCCAAGAACTAGCAAGAAGGAAACTTGGAGGAGAGAGGATGGAGAGAGTATGCAATTTCGGCCTTAGGGTTTCTTCCAAAGAAATCAGTGACCTCAAATGTGAGCCAGGAGGCTCCTTAAATAGCTGAGGGATCTAGGGTTTAGGGAAAACCCTAGTTATCCTTTGCTTAGGGCCTAAGCAAGATCCAAAGGCCTTATTTGGACCCCTTGGACGAAATCTCTAGGGTTTCCCCTAAGAATTTCGTCCACCTCCTTCCAAGGGGGTTCTGGAACCTTCCACTCAACTATTAGTTAAATGCAAACTAGTCCCTACACTTTATAATTAATTCTTTTAACCCCAAAATTAATTCTGATTAATTTCTGGCTAACTATTAATTAAACATAATGATTTCTAATTAATATATTAATCTTTTAACATATTAATAAATCATTTATATTAGTTCATTAGTCTTATAAATTAATATCTCTCTTTTCATAATTTCCTTGTCCAGTTGCTAGGTTGAGGGCAACCCAAAAGGACTGTGCTGCTATCAATTCAAGTACATACCAATTATAGTTATGGGCTTAGACACCTAATCCAACAGTCTCTCACTTGGATAAGTCTGTAACTATAATTGCTAGTATGCCTTCTAAATTTGACCAGCAAATTGTAGCTTCCAAAAAGCTGCTGCCGAACTCTGACCCAGTTAGTTACGTGTCCTAAGATAAGTGATCATATAATCCTTCGTTATGCTAGATATCCCTAGACATAAGACATGGAATGTAATCAATCTCTTTGTCCAGAATCTATGTTTCCCGATTCCTGATTTGTGATGATGTAGGACTTCTAATTGAACACATCAATTTAGTCCTGGCTGGGCCCAGCACATAAGTCAACACCAAATCATCAAGGGGCCCACAGATATCGCTTTTCCTGTTAGGGCAAAAGGAACGAATAAACGTTGACTCATATGCTTGTATCTTTTACTCATCAAATTATGCATGACAATACGTTTTATAACACCAAGTTACTGATGCGTTTTCGTATCACCAATGCATGACCGAGTTGTAAATCACAACTCATATATCTTCGTTTCAAGATTATAAGATATTATCGTCTCAGTATTACTCGTGATGAATTCCATGAAGTGATACTCTGAGCGAGGGTTTATCCAGTACTCAAATCTCAATTTCTGAGTACTCATGAACGTTGCAGCAATTCTATTGCCATGTCTATCCTTAGACAATCTACAATCCAGTTCATGACAGTCTTAATTCACTACTTACTTCCAAAAGTATGAGTGACTGTGGAGTTTGAATAATCTTATTATTCGGGAAGTAAAACATGCAAAAATGAAACACAATAATAAACAATTGACAAAAGGCAGAAACCAAACTTATAAATAATACTTTATTATTTAATCACCAAAAGTCCATTACATTTACTTTGTTACAAGTTTCAGTATAAAACTAATCTAACTACTAAAACTAATATCATCTTTCAGTCCTATGCTCCGAGCATGCTGAATATGCTTAGCCCTACTCAGACCCTTTGTGAGGGGATCTGCTGGGTTATCTTCAGATGACACCCTCTTTACTATAAGATGGCCTTCTTCAACTCTATGTCTGATGAATGGTACTTTCTGTCGATATGTCTGGTCTTACCATGATCTCTCGGTTCCTTTGTGAAGGCAACCGCTCCTTCATTATCGCAGAACAGTTCCATAGGCTCCTGGATGGTTGGAACAACTCCGAGATCCCCAATGAAGTTCCTCAACCAAGCTGCTTCTTTCGACGCTTCACTTGCTGCTATGTACTCTGATTCACAAGTAGAATCAGCCACCTGAGAACGGAAGTTATCTCTATCCGTCTGAAAGCTGGCATCACTGTAACCATCTACTCTCAAAGTATCACTGCCACCAAGCACAAGGACCCAGTCCTTTGTCCTTCGCAAATACTTGAGTATATTCTTAACTGCTATCCAATGAGCTCTACCTGGGTTTCCCTGATAGCGACTGACCATGCTCAAAGCAAATGTCACATCAGGGCGAGTACATGTCATAGCGTACATGATCGATCCGACAGCGGAAGCATAAGGTACACGACTCATGTCATCTATTTCAACATCTGTACTCGGGCATTGAGTCTTACTCAATTTGGTATTGCTCTGGATAGGTAGCTCTCCCTTCTTGGAATTTTCCATACTAAACCTCTTTAGTACCTTATCCAAGTATGTGCTCTGACTAAGTCCAATTAGTCTCTTCTTTCTATCTCTCAATATTCTAATCCCAAGAATATAGGCAGCTTCTCCAAGGTCTTTCATGGCAAAACACTTTCCAAGCCAAGACTTAACTTCTTTCAAGGTTGGAACGTCGTTACCAATGAGTAATATGTCATCGACATACAACACCAGAAAAGTTACTATACTCCCACTAGCCTTGATATACACACAGAACTCATCTTCACTTCTAGAGAAAACAAACTCTTTGACTTTCTCATGGAAGCAAAGATTCCAACTGCGAGATGCTTGTTTCAATCCATTAATGGATTTCTCAAGCTTGCACACTCTATTGGGGAACTTTGCATCAACAAAACCCTCTGGCTGACTCATGTAAACATCTTCAGCCAACTTCCCATTAAGGAAAGCAGTTTTGACATCCATCTGCCAGATTTCATAATCATGAAAGGCAGCTATGGCGAGCAATATCCTAATAGATTTAATCTTAGCCACTGGCGAGCAGGTCTCATCATAGTCAACCCCTGGGGTTTGAGTGAAACCTTTTGCAACCAGTCGAGCCTTGAATGTGTGCACATTTCCATCCATGTTTTGTCTTCTTCTTGAAGATCCATTTGCACCCAACTGTCTTACGACCTGGTGCACTATCAACCAAATTCCAAACTTGGTTGTCATACATGGACTTAATCTCGTTGTCCATTGCCTCTTTCCACTTGGAAGCCTCTGGGCCTGCCATTGCTTCCTTATAAGTGACTGGTTCATCTAAGTTTACCAGTGTTCTGTCACTTATGAATGTGTCACCATCTGAAGTAATATGAAAACCATACAACTCAGGTGGCACACTCACCCTAGTGGATCTTCTAAGAGGTAATGAGTTATCGATTGGTTCAACAGGAACTGTTTCCTCTGGTTGGGTGCTAGTGTCATCTAAGGTTCCTTCATTGGCTGACTCTTGAATTTCTTCAAGGTCAATAGTGCTCCCACTGTCCTCTTTGAATATGAGCTCTCTTTCAAGAAAGACTCCTCTTCGTGCTACAAAGACCACGTTCTCACTAGGCCTGTAGAACAAATATCCAAAAGACTGCTTTGGGTAACCAATGAAAACACATTTCTCACTTCTAGCTGCTAGCTTGTCGTGAGTCTCTCGTCTTACGAAAGCTTCACAACCCCAGACTTTAATATGTGCTAACGAGGGAACTTTCCCTGTCCACATTTCGTGAGGTGTTTTGGCAACCTTCTTTGTAGGGACAAGATTGAGGATGTGGGCGGCTGTCTCTAAGGCATACCCCCAGAAGTGAATGGGAAGCGAAGCCCGACTCATCATAGAACAAACCATGTCTAACAAGGTTCGATTACGCCTCTCAGCTACACCATTTAACTGTGGTGTCCTAGGAGGAGTCAATTGTGAGACTATCCCACATTCTTTCAGATAGTCGTTAAACTCGATACTAAGATACTCCCCGCCTCTATCGGATCTAAGTATCTTTATCTTTCTGCCCAATTGATTTTCGACTTCATGCTTAAACTCTTTGAACTTTTCAAAAGTTTCTGACTTATGCTTGATCAAGTTAGATATATCCATATCTGCTATAATCGTCAGTGAAAGTCACATAGAATCGATTAGCATCTCTTGTAGTTGATCTGAAGGGCCACACACATCTGTGTGTATGAGATCCAACAGACCTTCACCTCTTTCACAAGACCCTGTGAATGGTGATTTTGTCATCTTTCCCAAAAGACAAGATTCACACATATCATCTGATTTTAGGTCAAATGATTCCAACACTCCATCCTTTTGGAGTTGGGCTATGCGTTTCTTGTTAATGTGTCCAAGACGACAATGCCACAAGCATGCCTTGTCTACACTATTAGACAAGTCAATATTAAGTACACTATTTCCTAAGCTATCAACACAAGTCACTGTTTCATACACACCATCACAAGGTAAAGCTTCAAACATAAAAACACCATTCTTATAAACAGAAATTGAACCATTCAAATCATTAAAAGAATATTTGAAACCTTGTCTGAACAATGCATGAAATGAAATAATGTTTCTCGTCATCTCAGACGAATAGCAACAATT